ATTTTCTTGTGATCAGGATTCTGGTTTTAATTCTTTAAGCACATCCAGTTGGCCCAAAGATAATGTGTGTTCAGGCTCAACATGTGAGGTTAGTTATAGTAACAATGATCAGGAAGTTAATAAAGTTGATTTTCGACAATCCTTGGAACAGTTCCTTCATCCATACCAACAACACAAAGTCATGCAAAATAGCCCTCACGAAATACTTTTACAAGCAGAATCCATGTTAAAATCGGATCTAGAGGTCAATAGAAGCGTAGATGGAATACAAGACATTTGTTTCGCTTCAAAGAAGAGTCCATTACTTGTATCTGTGGCAGAAGAGGGCCTGAAGAAGCTTGACAGTTTCAACCGATGGATGAGTAAAGAACTAGGAGATGTCGAAGAATCGAGCAAGCAATCCACTTCTAGTGCTTATTGGGATACAATCGAAAGCGAAAATGGAATTGACAGTATAACTATTCCTTCCCATGTGTACCTAGACAACTATGTCCTGGATCCATCTATTTGCCACGATCAGCTTTTCACAATCATTGATTATTCCCCAAGTTGGACATTTGAAGACTCAGAAATTAAGGTATACTATACTATTTTGATTTCTGCACTTGCCATCAGTTTTGATCATATGTTGTAATATCTGTTACTTTTTTGTTCATCTGTTAGCTATATTCTGATTATCTACTTCATCTGTTACATATAAAAAATAATTTTAGAAAACATGGAAGGAGAAGAGAGAAAGGTCAAAACCTGTACTGTATTGATGATGGGAAAATGATACAACCGGAAAAGTTTATTACAAGTGATTATATCAAGCCTGTTTATAGGCATTCACAACTACTAATTTCTAACATCTGACTAAATACTAATCTAGCGTCTAACATCAATTTTTACAGGTTCTCATTTCGGGACGATTCTTAAGGAGTCAGCATGAAGCAGAAAATTGTAAATGGTCATGCATGTTTGGCGAGGTAGAGGTGTCAGCGGAGATAATCCGGAATGGTGTTCTCTGCTGTCATACTCCGCCACACAAGGCTGGCAGGGTTCCTTTCTATGTAACATGTTCTAATAGGTTAGCATGTAGTGAAGTGCGTGAGTTTGACTTTCGAGTCAATTGTACCCAAGAAGACAACACTACAGATGAGAACAGAAGCAGCAACGCTCTTGATACTTTTAATAAACGGTTTGGAGAACTGTTGTTGCAGGATCATGAGTTCCCTCAGAGTTTAGATTCAATTAGTGTGAATGAGAAATCTCAACTGAGAAGTAAAATCAGTTCATTGTTTAGGAGGGAGGATGATGAATGGGAAAAAATACTGAAATATACTCTAGAGAAAGATTTTTCTCCCGACCTTGTACAGGAGAAGCTGCTTCAAAATCTTCTAAAAGATAAGCTATATTCATGGCTCCTTCAGAAAACAACTGAAGATGGAAAAGGCCCAAATGTATTAGATGAAGGTGGTCAAGGTGTGCTTCATTTTGCAGCTGCTCTTGGCTATGATTGGGCCTTGGAACCAACAATAGTTGCTGGTGTGAATGTGAACTTTCGCGATGTTAATGGATGGACTGCTCTTCATTGGGCAGCTTTTTGTGGCAGGTCAGCATCTCAATGCTTTTCATCTAAACTGAATTTATAGTTCATTATATTAAGCCAACGTGATACACTTTGACAATACATTAAACTAATAAGATGAATCACTTATGTGGATTGCATCTTTGCAAGAGTGATAATTCGAAATAAAATATGTGAAATAGGCCTAGCAACAGTTAAAATGATTACTTGTTGATACTCGATGTGCTTCATTTCATCATTAGGTTGAATGATGAAAAGGTTGGAAATACCTGAGTTTTTTCGTTATGAAAAAAAAATCATTCTAGAAAAAAAGAAAAATCACACTCACCGCCCCAAAAGTATGCTTAAATAATATATACACTCTTCTGTTTTGTAAAAGACATTGACATCATCTCAATTACATACCTCTATTATACAAAAATAGAAGAGGCGTGTGTGTTATTTAAACAAAACTAGGGAGAGGGTACTTGGTTTCCATTTAAGCATATTTCAGGAGAGGTGAGTGAAATTTCCGCTAGAAAGAATCCATTGTCAGTCTTTTGATTTTTCATTGAGGTGTTGCATCTTACTTTCTTTACCAGGGAGAGGACAGTTGCTTCCCTCATATCTCTTGGGGCAGCACCGGGAGCACTTACCGACCCATGTCCACAACATCCTTCTGGTAGAACACCAGCTGACCTAGCTTCTGCAAATGGACACAAAGGAATTGCTGGTTATCTTGCAGAATCTTTCCTGAGCGCACAACTCAAATCTATTGATTTGAAAAGAGAGGCAGGAGAAAGTTTTGGAACAAAAGTAGTTCAAAGAGTCCATGAACAAAACACTTTTCAACTTAACAATGAGAGAATATCACATGAACTGTCAATGAAAGATTCATTGGCTGCAGTGTGCAATGCAACTCAAGCTGCTGCTCGTATTCATCAAGTTTTCAGAGTGCAATCGTTTCAGAGAAAACAGCAAAAGGAACATGGTGTCGACAAATTTGGAATATCTGATGAACGTGCTCTTTCACTGATAGCAGCGAATGCCAAGTTGCACAAGTTTGGACAACGCGATGAGCCTGTTCATGTTGCTGCAACACGAATTCAAAACAAGTTCCGCAGTTGGAAAGGCAGAAAAGATTTTTTGATTATTCGACAGCGAATTGTAAAGATTCAGGTAACATATTTCCAACCTTCGCATGTTTAAATGATGTTACTATTTTTGTTTGCATTTTAGTGTTTGTTAATACAAGCTTTCATTTTAACCTGTAACTTGTTGCTATAGGCTCACGTGAGAGGTCACCAGGTTAGGAAAAACTATGGGAAGATAATTTGGTCAGTTGGGATCGTGGAAAAGATTATATTGCGTTGGCGTCGAAAAGGTAGTGGTTTGCGTGGATTCAAATCAGAGGCCATCTCCGAGGGAGCTATGGTACAAGGTGTATCATCTTCCACTGAAGATGACTACGATTTTTTGAAAGAAGGCAGAAAGCAAACTGAGAAAAGGTTGGAGAAAGCACTTGCTAGGGTGAAGTCGATGGCTCAGTATCCAGATGCAAGAGACCAATACCACAGACTATTGAATGTTGTAACTGATATACAAGAAAACCAGGTATTTTATCTGTTGTAAGAAAAGTATTTTTCTAATGATATGTTGCAGAATCTTGCATGGGATCTTTACTAGTTTATCTATATTTCTATGCTCAATAGTAGAACAAAAATAAGTGCATCAAGAATGCAAAATTTGGATGTCTCTATTATTCCCACCTGAACCAGTTTCTGAACCCATAATGCAAAACAAGGACTTTCAAAATGCTGGCAGTTAACATCATTTAATTTCTTCTGCATATGCCTTTTGCAGGTAAAGCAAGATTCGAATTTTAGTAATTCAGAAGAAACAAGACAAAGACAATTCAATAACCTCGTTGATCTTGAAGCATTGTTGGATGAAGATACTTTCATGTCTACAGACACTTAGAAATTAGCTTCCATCTATTTGTTCAGTTGTTCATTGTACGTATGGGTTAGCATTTTATAACAGAATCAAGCAATCGTCTTAATTTGATCCTTGTAGCAATCTTGATTCACGTTCCCTTGTAGTTAGCTAACATTTCACACAAAAATGCATAAACTCAAATCACATAGCGCCAAAAATATGCACTTTTCTCTTGCTGTTGAATGCAGATTTATCTTAATCAGTACAAAATGCTTTAAGCAAATTCTGGAGCCAAAATTTCAATGCATGGTTCATTGCCATTGATGAACTGAGATAGGTTCACAATGAGATAAACTTGGGAACCATTATTTTCACTGATTATGCAGTACTTCGCATCGGTATACTTAAAATGTGCAATGGAACCTATGCTAAATATATGACCTTACTTAAAATGTGCAATGGAACCTATGCAATGGAACCTTGGTGGCGTTTTGACAATTCTACTATCTCTCTTATCGCAACGATTCTGGCCAGTTCCGCTCACAAACATAGGTGCCGCTATGATGTGCAATGGAACCTATGCTAAATATATGACCTTGGTGGCGTTTTGACAAGATCTTGATCTAAAATCTTATTATTCTACTATCTCACTCATCCCAACGCCCAGTTCCACCCATAAACAGAGGTGATGAATGCATACTTTTTGAAATTATGAAGTTTTGGATTAGAGAATAAACATCTCAATTATAAGATTTGTTTTAAATAATTGACTTATTAAACCAAATTATATACCACATATATGTCCCTAATGTCTTGCAAATGTTTACTTTGATAAATTGTAACGAAGTATAAAAACTCAATACAGTTTGAATAAGAGTCTTTTTTAAAAAAAAATACACTTGCCTACCAAAATATACTAATATTTCAAACATGTAATATTATTTTTCATTTTAGTTAGACCTTGGAATTTTTTTAGGATCATATATTTTCCAATTCCTACCCCTCTCGATCTTACAAAAAATAATTGGATAGAATCTTCCAATCTTAGTTATGATTTCATATCTTACAATTTTGCGTCTTGCAGTCTTGCAAGATCTCAATATTGACAACCTTGGGTGCACACACCATTGAAGTTGACCGCAAACATGATTATCCTAAAGCTCTCGTGGAACTAAAACAATGTTGGTTAAGCATCAAGCATTTTACATTTCATTGTGTTGCTAATGTTGGTTGAACACTTGCAACCATGAATACATATTGTCAGCAAAATTTCCACCATTTATATACTGCACTTATTGTGAGAAAGGAGACGAAAAAGGACAGTGCTCCCACCATCCACTGTACATGCCAACCACCTAAGTATACATTTCACAACACAACCTGTATGCTCTAAAGGATGCAACAGCTCCCCCAACAGGTTGGATAATGGTATAACATGAAAATAAATAAAGGAACTAGATGGAAAATACTGGTCCAAATGATTTGAGTACCTAAAGTAGTACAACACCTCCATCTAGTTATTGTTATCAGAGCCAAGGCTCTCATAGAACAAAATGTACCCATGGTCTGTATTCGTTGAATATTCCTGTGGTGATCCAAAGAAAGTTTGCACAGCAGACTCATCAATCATCTCCACGTTTTCGTCATCAAAAAATAACCAGTGGTTATGACTTTTCACAAGGCTGACATAATGCCCATGGTTGGGACCACTCCCAACATGAACAACTACTGCAAATAGAGAATACTCATTATCTGCATCTTCAACAGTGTTGCTCAACTTCAGCTCAAGGGGAAAAACAACCCGGTAAGACAGCTTCTTGTACCGGCCAAGCTGTTCCATGTATTTAAACCGCTTCAGATGAATGACCAGAATGTGAGGCGGTTTCTTTATCTTCATTCTCTTCTGAGCTTCTTGCAAACTAATATCAAAAGAAAGTTCACATTTTGGTCATCAGACAGGTAAATGAGAAAAGACTGGTAAAATGTTATCACATCTTGTACACACTGAACTGACATGACCAAAAAATCCCGTTCAGATGACAAATGAAGTGCCAATCAATGGAAAACTGAACATGTTCTGGTCTGCTTATTGAAAATAAAAAGGAGATAAAACTGTCCATAAACAAATACATAATATTTGCTATTTGACATATATGCTTCACCACAAACAATTTATTTCCCTCTCCAGTTAAAAGTAGAAAAGGAAGGCGTAATAGGCTGAGACTACTGAGACTATTAAAAATTATCTAGATCTGAACAATTATCTGAAAATTTGGTTTTTCACAAAGTCTAATGCATCAACTAAAATACATGTTAAGCAAGCAGCAGCATATTATAACTAAGCACGTGATTCAAAATGGTCGAAAACAGACAGTTTATATCTTCCAAACCAGTCAAGAAACCAAATAACAGCTGATGCCATAACATAAAAGTCATATATACCTGCAGCATTTGTCACAGAAAAATTTGTCCTCAGCATTCAAAGTCTCGGTGGAACTGAAATTTTTCAAACAGCTTGTAATTGAACTGTTTTGCTCAATATCAAGGCTCAGGTCAAAAAATGTTTCGTCCCTAGCTGTCACAGTTTCACATTGCAAGCACCTCGTCTCGTTGGTGAGTATTCCCTAATCAAAACAAATTGCAACAATGAAATTCCACAACATTGATATAAATCTAAATTTTGTGATCAAGACAGTGAAAATAACATCAACCACCACCCCGAAAATAGAAAATTAAATAAATAAAAATTGACAGAAGCAAAATTATTTGTATCATTACTATTACTATTATCATTTTCATCAAGTGTGACATTTAAGTTAGTTTATGATAAGATAAATTAATAAGAATGAAATAAATGTTTTAGTATCTCACATAATATGCTGCTCCATAATACAAGTAGAAGCAAAACTGATCAGTATCAAGGCATGCACACTTAAAAGGAGAACATTAATTGACTGGATCCAATATAAAGTTCACAGTTTATACTCCCTACAAATTTGTTGCAACAACGAGAAAAAACAACAATAAATTGGCAAAGCAGGTCACCTGAAAATTCTTGTGTACCCAAGTAATTAAAGGTTCTTTCTGAGGTCCATTAGCATGTCCATTCTTGAATCCATTTGCAATCTTTTCAGAAGGTGCTGGTGTATCTGGATCAGTCTTTGACGCCTGAGCCTCTTTCTCCAGAATGTCAACAAGTTCATTCAGCAAAAAGTTCAAGAATTCATGGGCATCCTACCAAAAAGAGAAGACCGACAGTAACATTGTTGTTTTAGTGAAAAAATAGACAAAATATGTGGTAATGTGCAAATAAACAGTGATAAATAGTGAATAAACTTGTATGCTACATTAACATTTATGGTGAACGAAGAACTCATCTGCAAGTAACAAATTGTTTGTCATTTTCGCTAAATAAACATCCAACATCCGTTACTGAATTATTTCATTTTCATCAAAGAAAAAAAACTAATAAGCCGAATCACCATCTGTATAATAGTGATATGTAGCCAAATGTATGAGCAGGCTCAATAAAGTAATGGTCGTATATGCCAAAGTGATGAGTATTGGCTGCGATATGGAAAATATTATGATTCCCCAAATATAATATAATAATAGTTAATAATCATATCACATTAAAGTCTGACTCGACCCTTACAAAACCGACTTGTAAGATGATAAATGTCTCGCACTTTATAAGTATTTATTTATTCGGGTTATAAGTTTGTATTGACTATGGTGGAACTCTCATAAGAGCCAACACACACTCCTTACGCCCGTGAATGGGCACCTGGAGCATGACTTGCATGATCGGTCAAAGCCACCAATGTAAGGACTTTCGACCCCCAAAAAAAGAATACTTAGCCCAAGTGGTGGATTTTCATATATTTTGGTGTCTCATGAGATTGCAATAATCTATAGCGACACAGTGGTTTTCCTTTGCTTTGCAAATAGGAGTCTAAAAATTCAATTCTTGGATAAAGCCTTTTTTGCATTTTAGTATTTCTTTGCCCAAAAAATAATGCCCAAGAATACAACCAGCAGGATTCAAACCCCTTGCAGTTGGGAAAAACAAGCAAGCTAAACCACTGGATCACAAATAAAAATCTGACAATCTTATTTTATTTTTTACATAGTGACATATACTTTAGCTTTTTTTGTTTGCAAATTATTTTTTTAAGCTTTAAAATTAAAGGTCTCATCTTGGAATTTGCATTCAGCCTCAATATGTGTTGGATAAGGATTGACCCAATTGACCAGAGTGGTCTAATAACAGATGACTTGCTACATCTATACTGGCTCTGACACCATCTTAAAACTTGGATTAACCTTAACTCACCCTATAAAACTAGCTTATAAGGTGAGAGATGTCTCCCATTTATAAATACTTTTTCAATATGTGACTGTCAACATAAAATTTGCATCTAGTACATGTTCACAGCTAACAGTCTAGTATGTTCACAGCTAATGGATGTTAACCAACAGTTTTAAAAGAATTTCCTATTCATCAAAAAATGACTAATAATTCTGAGGGAAAAAACTGCATGTTTTAAATCTGGTCCAATCCGAAAATAAAAAAAGCAACATTGGTCTACCTAATGATCTACCAACTGGAATACTTGTTGACAAGCTCCCAGCATTACCATCTGGAAACATTCAATATAGATAATAGCATTTCTAACTAGAATCCATGTGCAGAAAAGTTGAAAGTTGGAAGCAAGGAAATGCGCATAAACATGGAGCAACACCTACTGGCATCTTTACATAATCATGGAGAAACAAATAGCATAGCCAAACCTTTCATACAAACTTGTATCCACAGTAATCTCTTTTTATGAATATATTTATATTTTTTTTTATAACATAAATGTTACTGTTAAAATAGTTTACAGATTTCATGACTAATGATTCGATGTACTGATGTACAGGAGCTTATTCTCAACACAAGGCACATACCTGATGCATATAGCTACGAAAGAGTTCATTCTGTTTTTTCAACCTCTGTACAAATCGTTTGGGAGCAATGACACCGGTTTTCTTCTTCTGCGAACTTATCTATACCAAAAATAAACAAATATGTTGCATTCAGGACCAAGAAAGACATAGCTAGGCATGTACATACCATATAGTTGATAGTTGATAGGATTTATAAAAATGATTTATTCCAGATTCCCAAACCTCTCAAAGTAAACTTTCATGTTGGATGTCTTATGCATCTTTCTGATTTTAAAATACGCAAAGACTAATTTTCATATTATCCAAATGCTGGATAGTCATGGTGTAGCTTCTTTGATGAGTTATCGACGACTTATTTATGTTTTTATTTAGTAGGTTACCTTATCTTTTATTTTTATACTTGTTTATCTCATGCCTGACAATACTTTAACCACAGGCAATAACAAAAAAAGGAAATAAAAAGTAAGAAAATCGGGTAGGATATGTTAATAAAGAAAAGACGGTTATAAAACTAATAATAGCAGTAACCACTTTGTGAGCCATTCAAATAACAGCAAATGAATGAAGAATGCAAAGCCGGAAGATCAACAGCTTCTTTGACAAGAATCTAAGGCATGCACCATAGCCAAAATTTGTGAAGACATTACAAATTCTCAAACTGTGAATCATGCTTTGGATCAATCAAATAAGACAAAGCACCGAGGGGTCACACATGTAATGCATGAAATGTCCAAACTACAAATCGATTACCTGTGAAAATAAGTCAGCTAAGCATGTCAAAAGATTTTCCTCCACATCCCCTATGCTTTTGTTATTTCCATAATACTCCAATAGTTGTTCCCGAAACGGAACACAAAAGTATAGTGCCTGCAGAACGTGTCAAAATGAGTAACTTAATTTTAAACAACGCAGAAAATCTAGTCAGAAAACAACAAACACAGCCATTTTCAAATTCAATACTTAGAAATTAGAATCATATTTAGACCTAAACAACTTTGTTTTTCATATAAGTGGCTATGTATAAGTATAAGCTATTTCAATAACAAAAGATAAAATAAAGTCAAACAGTTTTCATCTAAGCTATAACCTTTTCTCAATAACAACACGAACATGTCATAACCTGATTACAAACCGTTTCAAAAGCGATTATGCTAATAGATAAGATCAAACAATCCAATCCAAACCGGTCCATAATCAAAACCCTAGAATCGGATCAAAAATTAAACGGTTAAAGTACCGATTGATTATACCTGCAAAACGCTGTTGCAATAACAAGTGTTGCCGAAATTCTCAAGACCGAAGTAACGTTCTCCTTCCGGGAATTGGTCACCTAGAGCCTTCTCAAGCTTGGAACCAGCAGCACCCATCGCCGCGTCAATCGATCAACGATAAACGATAAACTCAGATTCCAATCCGATTCAACTCAGTGACACGAACCATGAAATGTTGAGTTCGCCGTTTGGATCGTTATGGTTTGTTTACAGAGAGAGTTTTGTGAGGGTTATTGAATTTTTGTGTGGATATTATCGCAGAGGAATGAAATAAGGGTTTTGCTAGAGAGAGAAAAATGAGCTCAGCTGAGCAACACAAGTTGTAAATGCAGAAGAAAAAAAACGTTGAAGGAAATTTGAGTCTATAATTCTATATAATTGTTTTTTTTTTCTAACAAAAATATTACTAGTGGAAATAGAATTAATTTCCCTTTTTTGGTCGGTAATAAATTTCAATTTTTTATTAAATATATTTTTTATTTTTTTTAAATAAACAAATATTCATCTTATTCTAAGAGTATGTCTTAATAGTCTTATCCTTCTTAAAATTCAAAAAAATATTTATGGATGATTTCCACAGATATATTTTCACATGCATATAAGATCACATTAATTATTGTATTTCAGCTAAACAATTTTATTTTTGTGAAAATTATTTTCGAAGATGCATCTCTATAAATTTTTAAGGGTGAATTCGGATATGTATCTTTGTAAAATCTCATGTATTTATTTATGGTGTTTTTATTTACTGAGTCGGTTTTTTTCACATTACAGTGACGATTCCGAATATGCATATTCGAAAAGTCAAGCGGAAAATTGAATAAAACATCATCTTGCATTTGTGAATTTCAATACCGCAAAGGCCTCACTTCAATTTAGAGTCTTTGAGGACATATCTCTCGTCGATTTGAAATCAAAATTGGATACTGTTAGCCTGGAAATTTTGGCGGGAGAAAGTCAACAAAGAATGTTGGAAAATCAACAAATAAGACGAGCTAATTACGTCGAAAGATGGTAAGTATTGAAGAATCTCGGCAAAAGGAGATTCAACGTATCAAACACGTCGACATAAGAGTGTTCGACGAAGCGTGATAAGTTTGGTTTGGAAGAATCTCAAGAGCAGATCCATCATATTAGGATCACTCTCTTTTCTAAACATGTCTAAAATCTTGAAAAGGGGATTTCGACAAAATGGCTATATTCGACAGGGTCATCAGTTGTCCAAAACTTAGAATAATTTTATAAGTCCAAATACCAAGTAAGCAAGGAAGCGCTTTGACAAATGCTATTAGAACTGAATCAAATAAGCTTGGAGGCGGTTGGCAAGTTCAAAGTACATTGAAGGACGGTTACCAGTATGACGTCCAGTTCCTCGACAATTATTTCTCTGAAGACGTGGGGGAAGCAAGTTAGAAAACGGGTGTTTAAGTAGTGGGAATTGTGTTCGATCTTTTAGGGATTAACTGTTGTCGACGGTTATCTTTAGAGTAGTATAAATAGAAGACTCTTACATTGTATTCGAGGTCGCAAAATTCATACATCTCTCTATAGAATTGTAGTACCCGAGGCAAAGAGCGAAACAATTTATGAGGAACATGTACGAGTTTGCGTTCCCTTATCTTATTTGTCTTTATATTTCTTTAACTAGAATATTTTTATTTTAATGTCATTTAATGCACATTCTCCTTTAATATCATTTATTGTACTTTTCATTCATTACTTTTATCCAAACTCTTCATCAACTAAAATTTCTATCATTTTTGCCTTTGTGCAAACATGCACATTCAATTTGCAAACACACACTTTCTCGCACATTCAATTTTAACATATTACTCCCAAAATTTAGAGTTAATCTCATAAGATAATCAAACTCATGATTGTTCGCCAAAAACACTTGCGAACAAATCAACACGCCTAGTGGGAACCTTTTGTGCAATTATCAAACTTTTTCAAGAAAGTGTTGCAATTTTCTATTAATCATGTGTTATAGGAGACACTACAACGGAAAACCCCATTAACAACGGTTGAGAAAGATATATAACAACGCAGGCCTAGGCGTTGTTATATATAGTGTCGTTGAATATATGATACTTACAATCACGACCCAGTAAACTGTTTTAATAAACTGGAAAGCACGCTCCCTGTCATAATGGTTTTCCAAAAGACTGTTGTGATAAAATTAATGGTCCTGGGTTCGATTTCCAATTACGCTATTTTGATGCTTATTTTTTCTGAACAACACGCGAGATATTATAACGGTTATGACTATAACCGTTGTTAAAGTTTTTGCATAATTAATAAATATTATCCTGCTTTTATAATTAATCCCATTTTTTAACATGTATTATTGTTTACCATATCACAGCAGAAAATACAACTCACATTTGTGATAAAGTTATCTGAATAATATTAATTGTATCATATTCATAATATCACATGATTGTATCATATTCGATTGTACCATAACAAACATCCTACAATTTATCAGAACAAACAACCTACAATTTACATATTACATATCATCACATAATTGTAACTTAATATTTTGGTTTCATGTCTCTTGGTGTCTTGACTGTATAGACCTGTAATTTCAAATAATTATACTTGTTAGTAAAAATATTTGGAAATTATAACATACATGAATTATTATGAATAAATAATAAATTATGTTATTGTTAATTTTCCCAAATTTCTTCTTCATGATCGATTCGAATAGCATGGACGGCATCTCCATCAACTTTATCATATGAGATAGGAACTTATGTTGTGTAAGAAGGTGAGGACGAAATATCAAGACTTTTATCACTAAGAAGAGTGTGTTATCCTTGGAGAACGATTGACCATTTCCTTGATATGTCTGGTGGGTTGGTAATATAGAAAATTTGTTTTGCTTGAGAAGCCATGTTGAATGGTTTGGTCATAAAAGATTCCTTGCCAAGATCGACCCGGGTGAGTCCTAAGTTATCAATGTGTACACCATTATTATTATTGAGAATCCACTTGCATTTAAATAAAGCCACTTTGAAAACAACACAATCAATCTCCCAAATATCATCAATGACACCACAAAACATGGTAGTTGCCAGTACAAGATTCTTATCTTTCAAACTAGAGAAATACATTGATTTGGTTTCAATCATAACCCCACTATTTTGCATTATACTATGATTATCTTTTGATTTTGTATAAAAGGTATAATGACCAATATCGTATACAATCCAAGTAATGACACAAAATTCTGAAGGTGTGAAGAAAACGAGAGAAATGGGAGGGTTTGAATTAGATTTTCCTTTATTTAATAACTTTCTCTTCTAAGCATTATTCGTTGAACAATGCTTTTGAGTGTTTACTTCTAAGTAATACTTCTAATTAAGTTAAGAACATAAACTCTAAAGCATAAGCAAAAGTAAAGAACACACAATATATCCTGGTTCACTTGAGAAACCCCCAAGCTAGTTCAGTCCACCCTACCAAGGTGATTTTGCCTTGAACTCAAGGACTTAATCCACTATAGTCAATCTGATTACAATCGCACGGGAAACCGCAAGTGACTATCATCCAATGATGCCTTCAGGGATCTAAATCGGATATGACGTTCATTGACCCAACAAAATCCAATTCTTTAGAATCTCCTATCACGATTTCCTTCCAATGATATTCGTCAGTGATCTCAGAAGGCTGACCTTCACTCAGTCCCCTTTGAGATATGACTACCATTTATCCAATAGAATCCACTACCAGGATTTCATCTACAATAACCACAATCAAAGTCTTCTCAAGTCTTCTGATCTTCACTCGATCACTTGAGAAACCAACCAATTCTAAATAGAATTGTTTTTCTGGAGATTACATGAGTGCTTCTTATCAAGCAAATTACTCCTAATTTAATTACACGTTATTTGACACAATTATGAGCAACAATTCTTGTATACAAACAATTTACATGAAGATCTTAAGCAATAACACAATCTGAGCAACAACTCTTGTGTTTTACATATTTTTACAAAGATGAATATAATCTAAGTTAAGTGCAGCATCTTGTAGTCTTCTTGTCTTCATCTTCATTATTGAGCAAGCTATGAGCAACAACTCCTTGCTTCTTCATAATTCTTCCAAGATGTATATGATTGGTAGTTTGAATAACATCTTGTAGAATTATTCATCTTATTTCTTCATTAAGCAAGATATGAGCAACAACTCTTTGCTTTTTCATAATTCTGCCAAGATGTATATGATTGGTAGTTTGAATAACATCTTTTAGAATTCTTCATCTTCATCTTATTTGATTAGCTTCAACATATTAAACATAGTTGTTGTTCTTGTATTTGTTATAGTGGTTGATAACTTTTGGTTGTGTTCTAATAGTGACAGCTTTTTAGCATTGAACACTAACAAAATTCATCTTGTAATTTTTCTTCGACCAACATTTTCAAACATGTGATTATTTTCTTATATAGCCAAACAAAATAGATTCGTTGGCTATTTGAAAAAGAGTCGTTACAAATAGTACTGCTACGTCCTTTTCTCTTCCATAATTCAAGCTAGTGGAGAGGTAGTGGAATAAGGATTTTTCATATTGTGTACTATTGTACCATGTTACCGTTATATTATTTCCTTATGCACTTTAGAGGCTCCTGTGAGCATGAGTTTAGTAGCGGGAACATAACATAAGGTCTTCAGAACTTCAAGTCTTCAGAGTCTTCAGAACTGCGTCTTCAGAGTCTTCAGCACTTGGTCATGAGAACCCATTGTAGAGAACCTTGGATTAGAAGAGCTTTAAGTCTTTAGAGTCTTAAGGGTTGCATCTTTATAGTCTTTAGCACTTGGTCTTGAGAATCCTTTTAAGAACCTTGTTATTAGAAACACAAGTTTTCAGCATCTGGACTTCAGTAGAAACTTTTTCTTTATATCTTCTAACTTTGTTTCTTTGGAACATATTGTCTTTAGAAGCTTAAGTCTTTAGCATCTGGACATAAGTAGAGACTTATGTTTTCGGATCTTCTGACTGGTTTCTTTAAAACATGTTGTCTTTAAAAGTTTGAGTCTTTAGCATCTGGACTTTAGTAAAAACTTGAGTTTTCAGATCTCCTGTCTGG